CAGAATAGGAAGTATCATATGGAAATAAGGTATGCAAAGCCCTAATGGGGTACAGTCTTATTTGAACAGAGCTTTCCAGAAAAAGAAGTAGCTCTACAGCCTTTGGAGCCCTCTGTAACAAGTTCTGTAATAATAATAATACTTTTGTTAATAAAAACTATTTAGAAATATTATTGCTAGGTCCTGTTCTCTGAAGTTGAAAGAATAGGAAGTATCATATGGAAATAAGGTATGCAAAGCCCTAATGGGGTACAGTCTTATTTGAACAGAGCTTTCCAGAAAAAGAAGTAGCTCTACAGCCTTTGGAGCCCTCTGTAACAAGTTCTGTAATAATAATAATACTTTTGTTAATAAAAACTATTTAGAAATATTATTGCTAGGTCCTGTTCTCTGAAGTTGAAACAAGTGCTGTTTCTATGTTCTGTAGCCCTTGCTAGCATCTGCTTCATTTGAACATGTTTCTTCATGCACCTACTCGACCCTCTTATTTCCGTAAAATAATCTTTAATCACCAAAAGTCTCAAAGTTGCAGTTCTGCCACTCATACCCAGCTGAGCCCACAACGGGCACACCACTAACACATACACTTTTTTAAAAAGTGTTTATAAGAAAGTTTAACAAAAAACCTCGTGATGAAATGCAGCTGAACACACATGAAATTTCAATGCCTTGGCACATAGTGAAAATTACTACCTTGGAACTCTTAAAAAAAAATTCATTCTCACACACCAGAGGATTTGTCAAAACCTCTCTGTACCCTCATTATGCTGTTAAAAGCCATTTCATCCAGAAATTACAAATTTCTGATTTGATAATAGCTTTGCCTTAGTTAAGTGACACTATGTATTCAGTTGATCATAAAATTGAAGCCTGTACTTAACTGCTCCTGTAATTCATTCCTTACTCATGTGAACAGCTAGATACAGAAACACTGGTTATATGAGCAGAGTGTACTTACAGCTTAACAGACTCGTGAGGGTGAGCAAAAGGGGAAAGTTTAGGTGAACAGCTTTGGTTTTACATGCCTATGTAAGTCACCCTATTAACTCTTGCATTAGTCACTGATGTCACAGGCAAGAAGAAATAAAAAAAATTGGCAAATAAGAAGGATGTCGAGACTACAAAAATTATGCTTATGTAATGGTTTGGCATACCATGACACCCCCAGCCTTTATTAAAAGGAAAAAGCATGAGAAATTAATTTTCAAAAACGTATCTATTCCACAAGGTCCCAGGAATTAAGAATTTGCAAACCATTTGTCAAAGTGTGTATGTGTGTGTGGATTTGTGTGTACAGCACGTAATCACTTGTCTCATGTAACAACCAAACAGGAAAATAAGGTCGTGCAACCACAGAACAAAGATTTATGAACAGGAATTGTACCTACTTTCTCCAGTTCTTTTCAACTCTGACTCAATTTCACATTGATGGTGCTTATTTTAAAGTGCTGATATTAGTCATCTGTATATAAAAAGAGTTCTTGTGTTCTTACAATTGTTAGCCCAGTGTTTCTCCATGGTGCCATAGAACAAAAGCTGAGGAGTTTTAAAAACATGTAACTTTGAAGATAAATGACAGTAACTACAAACTACCCCTGTGGGCCCCAATCCTGTAAACACTTAGGCACATATGCAAATTCACTCAGTATTAAACAGCAAATAAACCAATGTCTAAGTTACTACTTGAAGTTTTATGTCAAAATGAAAAAAATGACAGTATTAACATTACTTTGCATATGCACCAAGTGTGCTATGCATAAGGTAGTCATTAACAATCATTAACAAGTCCTACAAGTACAAAAAATATTGTTAGTAGCATCTGGAAAAATGGGAGAGCTTGGGACAAGGCAATTACACTCATGTTCAAAAAACCCAAACAAACATCACAAAAGCCAACAGAAAAACCCAAACACAAACAAGACCTCCATTATCACACAACCAAAAAGCCCAACATGTACTGAAAACCTGATTTTTACTGTCTGTTCAAAAGAATCTGAAAGGTCTTTCTTTACTGTAGCAGTTTATTGCTCCCCCTCTCCCTCATACCTGTTATATGGTTATGATCATACTGAATATTAAGTTCTACTTTTCCTCTTATCTTCAAAGAGACTTTTCAACATGTAAACCTGAACAGCTGATACCACCACCATTACTCCCAAGTTGACCATGGACCAGAAATTCACTCTGTCAAAGTTGCTTTCTTGTATATTTCGGTCACGAGCCTCAAATGCTCTGAGTAGGGTCTGAATCTGGACACTTTTGCTTAGTCTGGCTTTGACACTGTTGATGGATTCCTGGTAAGTAAAAAAAGAGTATTTTTAGAAGAAAAAGAACACCTGAATTAAATGCATAGCTTGTAGCACATACAAAAATATTAATACTGTGTTACCACCTGTAATTTAATTTGACAAGCAGAACATTAATTTCATTTTCAAAGATACACCTCACCACAGTTTTCATTAATTTGTCTAGCGTTTTTTATTGTATATCACATAAAAATGCTTACTTAATGTAGCATTAAGGTTTTGTAGGAATTTGTTTCTTCCCTGTTATAGGATGGGGGAGGTGAAAGAGAAACCAAACCTCTTAAAACAAGCAAAAAGCAGTGATTTCAGCAGAACTAGTCTCAAAACAAGTTATGTGGTAGGAGGCAAATACAGGATAATAAAATTAAGGTACTTTTTAATGCAAATTACCATCAGGCCTATAGCTGTAGTAGAAGTGAAGTACAGTAATTGCTTTCTGTGCTTTCACTGTAGTGACTATAAACTGCTGCTTCAGCTTTGGTACGAAAGCAGAACTTTGATAATAAATTGTGACTAGGACAACTGGAGGTCCTACAAAGGACCCACAGTGTGTCTCTGGGAGCTAGAGGAACTACATGAACACTCACTCCAGCCATGCCAACAGCAGCTCAAGATCTGTGCCTTATTCTGTGCTTACAAGGAAAACACCAGGTCCTAGGATCTGTTAACATTTCATCCACCACAAAACAGAGAGAAACAACATAAAAGCTGATCTCATTAAGTGCTTATTTATGTTCTTGACATAACTATGGGACGCTGAAGTAACTTTTAGTGAGAAGAGTAATGTGTGAGTAACAGAAAGCTATAAATTAAAAAAATCCCCACAAGGTTAAACCCAGCACTAACATTTTCTCCATGGACATTTCAAAATAGCTGTTTTGAGGAGCCAATAATTTTATCATCATAAAGTTCATAGTTACACAATAAGGAACACCAACACCATAAAGGAACTATAAGACACAATTCCCTGTCTTCCCCAGAAAATGTGTTACTGTTACAAATCTAAACTACTAAGTGTTTCTGTAAGTCTTCATAGAGTTTGCAAAGAAAATGATACTTTGACTAAGTAAACAATGGTATCAAACACTAATGTTAACTTTATGAAAATTACCTACCATATAGGGTTTTCAAGGTTCCCAAAAGACAAGTTCTGCATTTCTTTTTCTTTTGGAAGAAATACCAGTATGTAAACAAGTACCTATCAAATCTGGTCAAGCATTGTGTGTGATTACTGTGAGAAGGATTTTCTTCACAACTTCCCCTGTAAACTTTGTCTTTTTCTAATTGTTTTGACTGCTAAGTTTACAGATCTGGCCAGCTCTTCAGATTCTGCATTTGGTTTTATTACTGCTTAAAAGTGTATCGTACACCTATAGAAGATTTTAAATACTGTTTTGTTTGAAAATTTGCATTTTGTTTAGGGTAATAAATAATGCAAAGAATGTAATTTTCCACACAGCGTATTCAGTAAGTGTGTATATATGTTGGTTTTTTGGGTTGCCTTTTTTAAAGACACCTATTGTCTGCAGGTATGATCAAACAGACGATAGCTCTATGAACAGTGGTACAGGAACACCAAACACTCCTTTGCTTCTAGAGCAATCTCAACGTGTAATGATCACACAGGGAATGAAAGGTCTGACTTAGCAGCAGTTTGAATCCCACACAGACAGCTGAAGCAAAGAGCCATTCAAAGAATCTCTGCAAAGGTGAACCTCCAGTGTAATACAAAGTAACTCCTGTTTATTACTTTGAAAAGATGAAATACAATTTGGTGGCAAAAAAACTAATATAGTAATACTGAAGTTACTGAAGACAGAAATATCAATCTGTACTTCTGCAAAACTGGGATAAAGAGGCTGATGACACTACTCAATTTTCAAACATTGATAAAAATCCGTGCTGTGATTCCATCTATATAATTGAGATTAAGTAATACTTTAATGCTATAAATATTCACTTCATTGCTGCTAGGGAAAACTGTCCCATTTTAGCAGTAGGAAGAAAGGAAGCTGAATTGGAAACAGTGCCTTCGAGAGCTAGGCAGTTTCTTCTTGCTGATGAAGGGCCTATTCTGAAAATATTTTCAAGTTTCTGTGTGTAACAAGAGATTCAGGGTGCTAGGCTTCCTGTATTAGGTAAACCAATACATGGAACTGGAATAGTTTCCAGGATGACACACCAGACCAAGGCACAATGGCCACATGACATTGAGGTCTTTTCCAAATGTTCTTACAATGAAAAGAATTAAAGATCAACTACTAACCAGAATATCTTCCAATTTCATATCTAGGAGATCTGTGCCTGTAACATACTTCTTCCAATCTTCCTGATCTTGTCCATCTTCTCCCATATTGTCCAGGATCAGTTCAAAGAAAATTACCTTTTCAGAAATGGTACTGAATGTGTTGTCAAAGCAGAACATGTAATCCCCATCTTCTGTTTCCACCCTGTGATATAAGCAAAATGCCACTAAATGAACAAAACTTTCTGAGCTGCTTCTCCAAGAGTGAGTTCCCCTTTAAGTCTCACACTCATGCACTTAGAAATAACCAAATATGCTTTATGTATGAAAATAGGAAGTCCAAAGACACATTACAGTTTGCACAGTCACAGCAAAACAATCCCACTGACTCTAAAGGCCCAAAATGATGAAGACAGCAGCTTGCTTTTTTCTGTTTCTTTTTTTAATATTTTGAATCATTGTTAATCATTAAAAAAAAAATCCTTAAGTGGAATTCTTATACTCTGTAGTAAAATTACAACAATTAATATATATTTTGATAAAAGGACAGGAAAAAGAGGGACTTTTTAGCTTGTTTATATGACTGACAAGGTCTTTTGATAGTAGATGTGAGACCTTTTTCAGCTCCACAATAATTATTTTTGTTCACTGACCATTAGCAGCGATCATTGAAACAAAAATATCCTTCCTTCCATGGTACAATCCATGTAAAAGGCATTCAGTGTTTATAGAAACCCAATTAGTATTCTCAAATTGTCCTATTAGAAAGCCTTTTGTAATTCTAAGGAATAAAACTTTAGTTGTACTTGTTAAAGAAACCAGAAAAGTATTTTATGTAACACTTCTGAGTTTGAAGATTTTAAACTTACGTATGAACTCCATCTGATTTTCTTTCGTCGAAAACTAGAGTTTCACCTTTTGGAGACAACAGATGAAAATCAACATCTAATCCTGCTCCGTCCAGAACCTGTGAAACAAACAATAAAACTCAACTTCCAACCAGTGGAATTCCTGTTTGCATTACTGATGGCAACATTTTTAGGGAAGGCAAATGTTTTCAGGTAAGGGAACTGACACATAAAGGACCTGCAAGATGAATCTGCATGTATGAATTCACACCAAGTTAACTGGAAACAGATTAAAAACTGGTTCAACACAAAAGCATTATAGTAATTTCAAAATCTTAAAACTAAGTGTGATCTAATCCTGCTAGTCTGGGCTTGTATGGAGCGTGTCCCTAATTACTTCTAATAATGCATACAGTTTTATCAATGAACAGAGTTAGACAACCTGTAAAAGTACCAACAACAGATGGCTAAATCTGGCACTTCTATGGCAGATGTCATCGATGGGTAAGGACCAGAGCTGGTCTAGTGGTAGAAATTTTATCACAAAAGTCACCTTCATGTATATACACATATATATTTGTACAAGAACACTACGCACTGTCATCCCTACAATCTCTTTGGTGGGTGAATTAACAGTGTGTAAGACAGGACTAGACTTCTTATGCCAATCAAAGCTGCACCACAGTCTTTCTCACCTTTTGACGCAGATTTAAGGTCTGAATTCTGCCAGGGCATTCTATTTTCCCAAAGGCAGAAGGCATTGAAGGCATTCAGCTTCCTAAGCTTATGGAAAGTATATAACATTACAAAGCTGTGCTGTTTTAACTGTGCAATGTGGCTACAGTTGTATCACCACATCTGTTGAGTTGCAGAAATTCTCTGTAGGGAAGGTAGTAACTGCATAAGGCACGGGATCATTTTTATGTCATTACTTAGGTCCATGCTAAGGGATTTTTTGTGTGCTTGTTTTCCAGTGAGCTTTTTGAGTATAGCAATCTGATCGAGGGCAAAGTTTACACTGACTCAAAGTGGCACTGCAGACTGACCAAAAAAAAGCTACAAAGGACAAGGAAAAGTGGTAGCCCACAGCTGTTCAGATTAAAAACCACACACAGTGATATACCTTTGGGGCTATGATCCAATCTAAACACCCAGAAAAAACACTTCGTAACATCATAGTGTTTCTAGCATTATGTCTTTGGAAAATGGCCTGAATCCTATGGCAAATATTCCTATGCTTTAGCCACTAACCTAATTAAGTACAAAATAAACCTATTTCCAATAACATACGGCGCTCCTTTTTTACACATTCAAATAGAAAGATCGATCATTACTGTTAGCAGGAGTGCTGAGAAATTTATGCCTGAGTAGAAATAAATCTACTGATACATGAATTTGTTCTCTCTAAAATGTTTGTATTTAGATTTTGATTAAAACACAAAACTCAGCACAACTTGTGTTTTGCTCAGACAGGACTCTGAACAAAGCTTGAACATCTCTGTCCTTCATTCTTGTTCAGTTCTGCATGTAACAATAACTAGCAAATAATCATGAATCATCTTAGTATTTTCAGCTGGGAAGTAGAGGGGGAAAAGGAGGGAGTGAAGAGAGACATATCCTGACCAATTCTGAGGCACAGCAGCAAGCTGGGAAAATATTCACTGCAGCTTCCCTCACTGTACCTATTCTACTGGAAAAAAAAAAGTATTTTAAGGAGGAAAAAATAGCCTGAGATAAGATCTTTCCCAGACACATCTGGGAAACTCAGCTCTTCCCAAGAAGGACATCAAGACCTTAATGTTAGATTAGTTAGTCTTGGCTGGTTTTGTAAAACTTTCATCATAAAAGTTGTTTAACACCAACACAAAGATAGGCAAGTAAGGGCTCTGCATCAGCACAGGGCTCTAACGCTGTAAGGGCTACAGCGCAAGGTCAGAGCCGCCAACTTCTACATCCTGCCGCTTCAAAGGATGGCGATGGGGATCTCGTAGGGTGGAAAACATAAAACCTATTAGAATGATTTTTTAAAGAAAGGCGTTAATTTTTCATTCGCACAGCAGGAGCTTTTAACACTGTGCCATTCCGGCGCAGCTCCGCGGCCGGCAGCGCCGGGCCCCGCGCCACTCG